GAAAAGTCACTGCATACGAATATCATCAGGAGACTGGCCACCAGATGATGCAGCAGCGGTCTCTGCAAATTTGCTGTTCTGGTACAACCGCCAGATCTATGCATTAATAAATGCCAGTATTTTCAACGTCTAAACAATGAACACTCGCTGAATAATTGGTGTTTGTTCCAGGAAAACCGCTTTGGCAGTTAGTCATGAAAGGAGGAACTACACGTAAAGTGGGATTAGCTGCAGTCGAAAAAATAGCATATCGGTTACGCTAGGAGCAGTTAAACGGGATGCCTGATTTATGAGTTTGAGTTCGAACTGCAAAACTCGCATTCGTGCGCAGACTGTGGTTTTTTTATTCCTCTAGGTGAGTTTTTAGGTGTCACACACAAGCTTCTAGTCCAGCATTAAATTTCTTGCATAACATGATGATAAACTCATATATCCCTTTCCCCCGTAATACCCGTGCGTTTTTCAAATCTCTCCCTCCCTTCCGTTCGCCTTCCCCTCCCCCACCCCTCCCCAAAGAGAGGTGTTAACTCCTTTACAGTCTGTGTTCCCCCTTTTCCGTCACGGCTCCTCGACAGCTGAAGCATCACCTCCAGCTCCATCCCCGCTCCCCTCATTACATTCCCTCACCCAAGGGTGGCAAACCACAAATACTACAGCTTGCCTCCCAACTCGACAACGCCAAGCCGACCAGAGTTTTGACAGTTACGAACAGAAACGACCACGAGCTGTACTGTTCGTTACCATCAAAGAAGATCTGTTAAAAAAATTCGTCGTAATCTATGCGCTCAGTTTAATGGCCGAGATGACAAAAACTGAATGACTCTTTGGGGAAATCGATGCAGCTTCACTGCCAACACAAGGCAGAATATTTGATGGCATCTAAAGATTTTAGTGTCAAAACTGGGGACCGATATAGGTTGAAAGAATGCTGCGTATGCTTGGACTGGAAAAAAAAGAAATGGTAGAGGAACTGGTAAGTAGATCGCAGCTTCCAGCTCAACCCTGGAAGTGCAGATGGTGGGATGCGCAAATGCAAGAGAAAGTAATGAA